GCAAAATAGTGGCCACCCACAGAAGTGCATGCCCAAATCCTTGGACTCTAAATATGTTACCACACAAGGCAAAAGGACTTTGCAGATGTGATTAAGTTAAGGATTCTAAAATGGGGAGATTATCCTGGATTATCCAAGTAGACCCAATGTAATCACAAGAATCCTTAAAATTGGAGAACCTTTTCTGGTTAGGGTCAGAAAAAGAGATATAAAAATGGAAGCAGGGTCACACTGATGCTACACTGCTGGCTTTGAAGGTGGAGTCCACAGCCTCTAAAAGCCAGGAAAAAAACCCAAGGAAACAGACGTTGATTTTATCGCAGTGAGACCTGTGTCAGACTTGTGACCTACAGAGTGGAAGGTAATAAATCTGTGTTGTTTTAAGGCCATCAAGTCTGTGGTAAATTGTTACAGCAGCATTAAGAAAATACAGCATCTGTCTGATAAAAATGCGAGACTGTCATAACCCTAAACAACTTCAAAGTCTTAAAATGGGAAACAGCCTGACAAGATTAAAGCCTGCAAACATACACATTGCATTAGCCTGTGATCTGGTGTCCTGAGCATAAATCAACTTAACACAGAATTCTATGTATATGTTCTTCTAAACATCAATAACAGTTCAACAAGTTGACAACTGGTTGTATATGGAAATCTCCAGAACCCTCTACTCTTTGCTCACAGCCCACAAAAATTATTCTATTAAACCAAAGCAATTTTACCAGAGAGCCATGTGGCAAATTGTCAGGAACACAATGTACAAAATACAGGTTTAGTCTTAGAATGATCATGACTCTTTCCATACAGTTGAAACTTTTTTTTTTACATTCAGTATTAAAAATTTACATTCAACGAAATAGAAACATACATGTGAATCACTACAGCTACCACTGAAATGGAGCCACATCTGGATATTCTTACATTAAAAAAAAAAAAGATACTTTCAATTCCATCTTTTTGGACACTCTTCAAAGGTGTCTCCATATCCATATGGACTTGACCATCGATCCTGAGTAGTCAACACCAGCAAGTTTCCGGGAGAAGTCCTTATCAAAGTCAAGACAAACTAATGCAAATCACTGTCAATGTTATCAATGTTGGCAGTGCTCTTGTTTGAAACAAAGCCAAATAAAAGGCATTTATTTCACCTAGGACCAAGGATCAAATTTTCCTGGTGTGCCAAAGCCAATCTTTTAAAAGCTACTTACTTAGTGGATAAAGCTGTGTCTTTACTTTTAGGCTAATCAAAATATAAAACCCCAGATTTCATAAAAAAAGATTATGGTTTCACCCAAGTTTCCCCCTCAGGTTTGAAACACTAGGGTCCTTGATGCTATTAAAATATTTCAACTTATGGACAACTTTAAAGGGCACATCCATTGAAGGACAGTCCACTTAAACAGTGATACGATTTGTTTGCCCACTGTATGTCACTGCTCCCAAGAGATGAGAACGCCCCTATTATTTTGGGACTGCCTCAACCTTCTGAGTTAACCAGGTAATGCTTTAAGCAGAAGGAAGACTGCACAGGCTAATTCAGGGGTTGCCATATGCTCTGGAATGGAAAACCTTGCTGAGATTTCTGTTGACATCTCACAGTCAAGGTGCTTAGGAAAAGTAATCACATCATTTGGCAAAAACATCCTGTGGCTGAATCAGCAGACTTGATGGAAAGTCCCTATGTATGCTATTTGGATACAGACTGGGTTCTAGAGAGACAATTTGGTTGACATAAAAACAAGAAACAACAGTTTAATATACAACGAAATTTGTCTATATGCGGAGGTAACCTTAAATATCTTTGGTTTTTTTATAATTTGCTGATAAAAAGTACTTGAATAAAAAGAGATAAATACCAACATAAATTGTATTGTTTTTAATTATGTAAACTTAGCCCTTTGATTTCTTTTGCTACTAAAGCTAGAGTCCTATCAGCCTCTAAATAAATTTATTTCAAATCTGCTCATCTTTACTTACTTACAGGCTAATCTATATATTTTAATGGTCTTTGGTATGAAAATACTGATGAGCAGTATCTCGTAATATTTGGCATAAAAATGGCATGCGTGTATCAGTACTTACAGCAAATAAGTCTTTGGGAAAGAAAACAGTTACCATTTGCGTATTAACCCCATTGGAATGAAATGCCATGAAGTAACACCACTATGAGAGATGAATGAGAAACTTCACATTTTAGTTACAGTTTCATACTTAAGACTTCAAAGAAGCTAGCTTTGGCCAATAAAAAGAAGTCTTTGGTGTATACTAAATATCTTATTCAATGAGACCAAAATACTTATCTTTGGTGAAAAGATTTTTTTTTCTCTCCAACAAGTAGTTTCAACAATTTAAAAATACTTTATTCTAATACTGTATATGAGAATTTACTTGCTGAAGAAAAAAAAATTACACTTGAAATTCTTTGGAACTATCTGCTGGTAAAGAAATCATTTTAAATGCTCTGGTAACAATAAGGTAGTTGAAATTACTAGTCTATTTAACTATAACAATCAATATAAACCCTATTATTTTGGGTTAGTAACTACTTATATAAGCTTCAGACCTATAGATGTTTCTAGTTAATTCAATTTTGGGGGGAAATTAGAGTCAAATTTTTACTTTCTGCTGAAATTTCTTTGGTAACAGGATTATTATGAAAAAAATCTGTATAAGAACAAAATGAAAAGATGAAAAAGTAAAAATGTACTGGTAAATAATTAGCAAACAGTTATAGCCTAAAGATCTATAATAACTATGGGCCTATTTATAAAAAAAAAAAAAGAAAGAAAGAAAAAGAAAAAGGAAACAAACAAACAAAATACTTTCCTCAAGGACTTTCAGATCATCTTTTTAGGCTTTTAAAATGATTAAAATTCATGCAGTCCTGGACACATCTTCCATAACCATGATGGATGATGTTTCAACTTTAGATTTTATCTGCCTTTTAATGAAAGTTTAAAAAATAAAACAAACTCCTTGTATTCCTTAATTTTGTATGCTGATAAAAGTTGGCCCCACAAAACTACTTACGAACCAAAAGACACCATACCCTGTCAGTTTGCCCATGCTCACATGAGGCAGCTTAAAAGTAACAAAATGTTCCCTGAGTACAGGAAAAAAAATAACACTAGAATAACTTTAAAAGGAGGTAGTATAAAACAGGAGCTATAAAGGCAGGAGCAGCATTTTTCCTTGCCTCAGATTGTTCACCTAAAGCTCTGCTTTTTTTGTTTTACCATGAAGCCCATACTTAGATAACTAAAGGGTGACTTTGAATTTAGTTCACAAGTGGTTGCTGGCACTTAATGTTGGTCTGTTTCTGAACACATCCAGTTTGGCACAAAACTACAGATTAAGAAACAATAAGACAGGCATCATCAGACACGGGGATAGGCAATGACAGAGGTGGGACTAATACCCAGGAACATTCTTTTGATTTTAGAATGCCATTTACATTCTTACTTCCTCACCATCACCCCACCACACCACACCCCATAAACCAAAGGTTTCAAGGGGAAACCCATGAAGATTCCTTTTAAAATAAGGCTCAGAAGTCATTTCCAAATAATGTGAAGAAATACCAAAAAACATAGGGCCCCTCTCTACACCATGTGTTTAATTCTTTTCCTTTTTCACTGCTGGTTACCTAGTAGGTAACTGTCTCATGACTGAAAGAAGGTCTATTCTATGTGGCTGAGTAAACAGTTTGCTGATTTCAAACCAGCAAGAGGATTAACTCACTCCTGGAGTTAGCATTCCTCATTCACAGCATTGACACGGAAAGAAGATTATAGAGTACCACATTCTCTTTAAGAATTCAAGAAAATACAAACGAGGTGGTAGAGCTCTGAACACTTATCCCTAAATCAGACCTGCGTAAAAACAAACTAAAACGCTTTGATAAGATACTATACCATCAAAATAGTTATTGATAAAATCCAAGAAACTCTTAAGGCAACTTTCTGTACTCCTGTCCTGAACAATTTCATGAATATTAAAAAGTATAAGGCAAAGAATTTCATAATACATAATGGAAGGCACTGTTACCATGATAACCTCTAGTTTATTTTATGGTCTACTTGCATTTATCTTTATTCTTAATATTTTATGAAATTTCTTTACCCTTTTTTTTTTTAAGTCAAGGTGGGATTAAAAAACAAAAAACTCTAACCAATTCTCTTTAAAAATGGAGTTTTGCAACTAACTCTGGAAATGGTGAGGATGCTTTGCAAACTAGACAGTGCAGGCTTTGGCCGACCGTCAGGCAAAGGGGAAGGTAGAAAAGGCACGGCTCTAGGCAGCTGAGGTTTGGGGTACAGCAGGTAAAGCACTCAAGACTCTAATGCCCAAAACAGAAAGGCCCTTGAAGCCACTGTATTCCCTATATGCTACTGAATAGTTCTCAAAAGAGACACTCTTTGTTTTGGTCATTCGTTAAAATCAGCAGTCCCACTTTTTCTCTTCTCAGTGGTTCGACAGTCCTCATAGCAGAGGTATGACATTCTCCAAACCATGCAGATGTCATGGTTTTCTTTAAAAAAAAAAAAAAAATCAGAGCTTCAGATAAACATTCTTACTCACATACCTATATGACTCCTTTGATCACACACACTACACATACAGCAATGAAAACAAAATGCTACTAGGAAGTATCATTGGTTACGGAGCGGAGATCAACTATCACAACACACGAGGTAACAAAGTTGTCTTCGGAGTTTGCCATCTGGCAAACTGAGGTAGATAGTCAGCAAAGGGGTTTTCAAAAGTCTTCCCTTTGCTCCAGTGACATATTTTATAATCCAGTCAAGTATCTAGACTGTCTTTTCACATTGCTGACAACGAAACATTCAAAATACGTGTTTAAAAATAAAAAAATGAAAACACATTTTAAAAAAAGCTGAAATACCCAATAAGACATCACGATTTCCACAAAAGGCTTTGGCTCCCTGTTCCTTGTCCTTCGAACAGACTTAGAGGTGAGAATACCTGAACATGGCTGTCTAGATTGGAAAATCATTTTTGTCAAAGCGCAGCATGGCAGACAGCGGCTGCAGACCCGAAGAAGTCGTCTGCTCGGCATCTGGCGGTGTGGCTGGGTCTTCACACTTCCTCACAGAGCCATCCCCACCTGAATCACTGCCGGTGAAGGAACTGGAGGTCAGGGGCGTGGTGCTGATGACTGAGGACAGGTGGATCTCATCATTGGACTCATGGGAGAACCTTCCAGAATCCCCAGTCTCATGGCTGCCTTCGCTGTTTGCGGAGTGCTCTGTCTCAGCGGCAACAACACCAAAGGGTCTTGGGAAGCTGGCGGTCTGACCCGGGGAGCTGGGGGAGTCTTCATCACTGATCAACACAGTGGTGCCTGGCTGGTAAAAGCACACTGCTTGAGTAAATCTTCTTTGAGGCTAGGCAAAAACACATAAAACACTGTTAGTGATGGCAGGGTGCTCTGGGAAAAATAATACATAAGGTTTTACATAGCCTATAGATTCTGAGATAGTCATCTGTTCAAGGACATGGGTGAAAGGTCATCATCAGGAAGAGATGATCTAGGTCAGTAGTTCCCTACCCGAGTGGTAACACATCAGAATTACTGGGGCAAGTGAAGTGTCCAAAGGCTTCTTCAGTGATTTTTTGATGCTTACTCCTGCCATATCCCTTCCTCCACTGCCACCCATTCCCTGCTGAAAACCACAGCTCTGATTACTTTCCAACTACCACTTCAGTGATCATGCATCATGGCTTTCCACTGAGTTATGCCCCAAATTAATAAAATCATATCCAGACAGAACATGAAAATTAAGGCCTTCATTTACACTTTCCTCTCTTTTTAATTATCATTTCATGATACCATGAGCTGCCAAAAATTTTTCTCATTAAGTTGGGTTACCTGGTCAACTTTTATCTTCTTAGAATCTTGGAAAAATAGCCATTTTTTCTTAGAGTTGTTTTTAATTATAGGACCATAGCTATTAATTATCAGGTCAGTTCCTCCCTGGAGAAATAAAATGAGAAAATAGAAATACTACAGATTTCAGTTTATTATACATAGTATACAAAATTTTTAAATGTTAAAAAGCCATCAGGGACATTACTATTTCTTCTTTTACACAAGCAGTACCCCCACAAATTCAGGGTATTTGTCAGTGATCAAAAAGATATAATAGATTTAATCTTCAGAGATCTATATGCTGAAGTATTTGGGATGAAGTGTAATAATTCCAAAAACTATTTCCAAATGTTACAGCAAACAAAAATACATAGGAATATGTATGACAAGGCATTTACAATTATTTGTGCATACATTACATCACTCTTTCAACATATCTGAAAAACGGGAAGTTTTGGGAAGCGGTTGGGAAGAAAAAACCGTGGGCCTGCACGTGCTCAACAAAATGGCAATAAATGGAGGATCAGCTCTTAGGCTGAGCCAAGGAAACAGAGAGACCTGACTTATCTGCTTAATACAGATCCCCACTCCAAAAAGGTCTCTTTTCACTTAAGATTCTCTCTCTTTTTTCCCCATGTCCTCCTCCCCATGCTGCTTCTCCGAATCCTTTCTCATGCCCAAGGTAGTTCCAAGGTAGTAAAAAGAGAACCCAATGTGCTTTAGTAGTTTTTATGCTTATCTGGAAGTTTTAGGTTCCAGTGTTCTAAATTAACTGGAAATAAGTGGAATGGCTTACATTGGTATCAGAAAATAAAAGCTAAATCAAGTTGCAAACAATAAAGACAACAGGAGTAACAAAAATCAAATCATTATTATTATTATTTTTAAAGATTTTATTTATTTATTTGATAGAGATCACAAGTAGGCAAAGAGGCAGGCAGAGAGAGAGGAGGAAGCAGGCTCCCTGCTGAGCAGAGAGCCCGATGCGGGGCTCGATCCCAGGACCCTGAGATCATGACCTGAGCCGAAGGCAGAGGCTTAACCCACTGAGCCACCCAAGTGCCCCAAGTCATTATTATTTAATCATAATATATATAGTATATTACACTGTACTAGATTTGAGTAGCTTGCACTTGTTAAATATAACTATATTAAATTTAATAGCAGGGGCAACTGGGTGCCTCAATCGGTTAAGCATCTGTCTTCAACTCAGGTCATAATCCCAGAGTCCTGGGACCAATCCCTCCATCAGACTTCGTGCTCAGCAGGGAGAGCCGCTTCTCCCTCTGCCTACTGCTCCCCCTGCTTGAGCTAGCTCTCTTGGACAAATAAATTTTTTAAAAAAATTTAGTACCAAAATTGCCTGAAATTTTGTTGTATTTCTGTTATTCTAAATTTTAGGGAAGGGTTGGAGAGGAAGAATTTAGACCAGGATTTGTCAAGCTTCCTCTGTAAAGGGCTAGATAGTAAATATTTTAGATTTTGCAGGCCTCATATGGCCTACATCTCATTTTCTCTTTTATTTTTGTCCTTCAAAGTACCCTTTAAAAAGGTGAGAAATATTCTTAGCTCATATAAAAACAGGCTATGGGCTGGCCTGGGATGGGCTATAGTTTGTGGATACCTCATTTATACCACATTGGTTGCAAGAGCTATTATAATAATGCACACTATCTAATGTTGCAATGTGACCAAAAATAATTTTCATTTGGTGTTCCTAATGCTTATCTCTGTACTATTATTACATATAGTAGGACATGAAGTAACATCATCCAATTACACTTCTTTCTTGTATCCAACTTCCTCAGGCCATAAAAGGAAGGATCTTGAAACATCTATTTAGATAGACTATATTTTTAAAAATATAGTTTATACCTGGAATGTTCTAATGTCCACGGCAGTTAAAAAAAATCAAATGAAGTATGAAAATGGATTAATAAAAAAATTGCCCACTGAGTAAATACAGGGCAATCTAAATTGTAGTAAATATAGACTAATGACCCTCTGTCCTTTTCTAAAACATGTTAGCTCTACATAATCCTATCTAATTGCATTTATGCTATTTTTTCATTTTTTCCCTCTATCTCTTTAAGCTTTTATTTCTCTATCTTTTATCCATCCCTATCTTTTTCTCCCCATATATTTTATGTAAGGAAGGATCTGGGTGAAACTGTTTTGTATTTCCTCAAGTAGAATATGGATGTAATATGTTCAACATACGATTTTTTAGTAAGCAAATCTCACATATCAAGGGAAGATGAACGGAGGGAAGGATTACACAGCAGATCAGTATCTCAGCTCAGAGTACCTTTGCATCAATGAAGCTGTTTGGCATTATCATTGGCATTAAGGATTCTTCATTTTCTACAACTCCCCCCAGGTTCTTTCCAGCTTCACTTCCACCGGCTAGGGAGGTACTGGTGCGAGAGGACGGCTGAGTTCCATTCTGTGCCGTCTTGGAAGCAGATGATTTCCTGAAATATTGCAAGCAAAGGAAATCTTCCAATTTTATAGGAGATCTGGACAAATGTACCAAATTTGGCCTATAATCACGACTTTACCAACAGTGAAGTTCTTCAATACTTATTTCTCAAATACCTTTAGAAACTGAGTATTAGATTTTTACCTCAAACTCACTCCCGCAAACTTTTATGATTTGAGGAAACGTCTTTCTTTTAGCCCCAATATTTGCGGACAGAAAATTATTTTTTACACTTACTAAAAACCTTAATATTTACAAAGTACTATTAATTATTACTGTTATTTATTTCACATTTACACAGAAATTATAATTTTAAGATTTACGTGTTCTCTCTCAAGTCTGCCTGAATGTCACACTAACATAACAACTCACTTACCAGTTAATGATGGCAAATTTACAGTAGCACTTCTGCAAGATTTAAACACTAGAACAATGTACATAAATATTTTATTTGTACAGAAAGATTTTATAAAAATATTCTTCAAGTGAGAAACTTGTACAGCAAAACTAAGCCAGTTAAATATACAAAAAGATGTTAGAATTCTTTAACATAGTATGTTTCCTGAGTATGTTTTTATACACAAGTACCATACAGAAAGAATAAATCTCAATAGTCAATACTAATGCAGGGAGTCTAGTGATAAGGATTATCTGAAAATAGTGTGTTTCTGACCTTGTATTAAATACAGTAAACAACCTTAAAATAAATGAAAGCAAGAGCCAAAATATAAAAGGTTAGAATTAGACAAACTTACTGAATGCTGAGAATTTAGCTGAAGTCAAACTACAAATGAGACCGCTTAACAGAGTTTCCAGAGGACAAATCCCTAGTTATCACATTTATTTTAACCCCATGTCTGGAGAATCCCAAACATATGTCCTATGGAAATAAGGGAGGAGCTCTCAACGGAAGGCTGCTTAGATATGAAAATATTCCAGACAGTAAGAAATCTCCTCAATCAGCATAAGCATCAGACTAAGTGTGCCATTTTAAGAAAGAAACCAAAGGATATACTTTGTACTTCTCAAAATAAAAAGGAAATGAAGAAACTAGAGCCTCATTTAAGAACATCTTATTGGCACAGTAATTTTTTCAAATGGAAAAGTGAGCACATCTCTATAGCAATTAAGAACTCAAGTAACATTATTTTAAAATGGAAAATCCCAGTTATTCTAGAAGGCACTTGATTTCAATTTGCTTCTCATAGTTACTGTAATTTAAATGTTTTTTTAACCACCTCAGCATGGCTAGCAATGGAAACACACCTGGCTTTACTTCGGTATATCAGGATGAGAACACAGATGAGGATGCAGGTCAAGGCTATGCCAACGCCTACAGCAATGCCAGTCATTGATTTTTGGTCCAGATGGTAGTAGCCTGAATAAACTAGAAACAGAAACACATTAACTCAGTATCAATCACAAAAATAAATGATCCCATTTAAGTCTCAGATAGCTGTTTGCTTTTCTATAATTTTTCTACCTCTCCTGGGAGAATTTTTTACTGTATCTGTGTCTAAGCAGAAAAGACACATATTACTCTTTTTATCAGTGATCTCAAAGATCAGTTATATTCCCATATTGAAGATTCCAAATATGAGTTCTAAATACCATATTATTGTATTAAACATGAACATCAGTTAATAACTTTTAATGCTAAAAGGCACAAAGTACAGATGTTCCTTGAACCAAAGGGCAGCTTTCATGTCATGCTACCTTAAAAGCAGATCTGCATATTAAAGATGAGTTTCCTGTGTACGTATCTGCATTTACACAGCAGTGCTCCTCTAACTTTAATGTGCACATGACCACTAGGGGATCTGTTAAAAAACAGATTCTGATTCACTATGTCTGGGGTGGAGCCTATGATTTTGCACATCTAACAAGCTCTTGGGTAATACTCATGCTGCTCGTCCCTGGACACTCTGAGCAGCAGGTATTTGAGAAGTGACTATGAGCCTTGCTCTCCTTTTCCCACGATAAGGGAGCTGCCACTGCTACCTCACTGCAATGCTTAAACCTGTCTGCCTTGCCTTTCTCTTTCTTTCTCCTTACCTGTTTCTCTCTTCTCTCAACACCCCCTACACACACACATACACACACACGCACACGCACCGAGGCACTGAATGACTATCCTCTGAGGAGCTATAAGCCCTTAATCCTGTTGAGTTCAGCTGGCAATTCCTCCATTTAAAGCTCCCAGGGACCTCCCCCTGAAGAGAAGGAAAGGAAGGGGTCTTGACCTGTACCACAGGGGTGGGTCCTGGCTTCCTTCGGGACAGGACAGTTGCCCTGGAATGAGGGTGGCTCTTTAAAGACACTACTTCCAGCTGCTCTTTGGACAGAGAACTTTCTCTCCAGAAAGGCTGTTTTTCTGTGGTAACAACTCTTAATGAAAACCATGCTCTCTGTTTGAACACCACAACCAGCACGGCTGTTTATTTCCATGGAACCTCCCTGGAAGCCTCCTGCCGTCAGTTTTTGGACCCTGTGGCTCCTCTGTCTGGGAAGAGGAGTAACTGGGACACAGTGGTCTGAAACGGAGCTGATTCGGAGGTAAGTCTGTTTCCCTGTAAAGTGCCAGGAACAGCCTGCAGCCCCACAGCATCCGGACAGCACCGCTGGCGACAATTCAAGAAACCAAGTGCACGGATGTGCCTGCCGTGGGGAGAGAAGCAGTACAGTGCAGGAGAGCGGAAGGAACACTGATCTAAGAAAGATTAGTGAGGACGGCATACAGACCTTTGGCATCAGCTGAATCCAAACGCTTGGGCCTCTGATTAGATTCAGAGGTTTCCTTTGGAAGGACTGCCAGCTCCACAGAATTTGAAAAGGGTCCTTCTCCCACCTCATTGGATGCAGATATCTTGACAATGTACACGTTTCCTGCCACCAGGTTTTCTAACAGAGCCATGGTTATTGCCCCTATAAAAAGATCAATTACTAATTAAGTAAACCTTATCTTTATTCATTCTTTCAAACACACCATCATGACCCTTTATTTAATAAATATTCCTCTGATTATAAAAGGAATACCATGTTCATGGCAGCTGAAAAAAAAAAAGAAATGTTTTAACTACTTATGGTAATCAGTGTGACCAATGATCTTGTTCTTAAATTAGAAACAACACAATTATTTTTGAAAGTATGAATATACTTTCAAACAATACACTTTCAAACAATAATGGCCCATCATTATCTAAAATTTCTTGAAAATAAATAGAAAGGAAAATGCCAATGTTATATAGGAACCTCAAAGTGTTGAAGATCTGGACCTCTGATTAACTACCAAAACTACTACCTGTAATCTGCCCAGAATCTACTTCTCTCCAAAGTCACCATCACCAGAATTTATATATGATATTTGGTATCAAAGGCATTTTCTCTGTTGGCATGATGGCTAAGAAGGATTCCTATGTGCGTACTGCTATTCCTTGAGGGGTCTTTCTGCTCTTGGTTCTGCCACAGTCCTGAAGTACTTTTCTTACAAAAGAGACTCCCACCCCAGGAATGAACTCTAATGTTAAGAACGCAGGTGTAACAGAATTCAACCACAAAGTTATTCTGGCACGGACTACATTCAGGAGTCGATATTCACAGGGAGCCTAGCTTCCCTCAGGGGACATCATCTCATTTTTTTCCCCGACTCAGAGCATCCTTGCAATAGCTTTGAAGAACTTACGATAGCTTGTAGCAGTCCCCTCCAGGCCAGACTGGACTATTCTCTTACACTTGCTAGCATATATTTCACTATGCAGTGAAATGTGGGGTAATCTCAGAGCTCGGGTCATGATTCAGAGGCCACCTGGGAGGTCACACGGTGTAAGGCAGCTCAACCAAGCAGCTACGTGAGGGCTGAACATGGCTTGTTTTCATGTTCTCTGGTTTCAGCTTGGCCTGAAGAGAGTGTGAGCTACTTGAGCACACAGCTGTTAAACAAACAAACTGACCCTTACTTAGAATCAGGAAGAATGTTTGTACAGTTACCATGTTCTCAGGTGAATTATTAAAATCAAAGATGTATTGTGATGTGTTACAGTTAATTAGAAGGAAGATCATTTCAATTTCCTCACAATAGATACATAAATAAACTGAGTTTCCATTTTAGCATAGAATACTTCACATTCAATTTTCAAAAATGCTTGGCAAAAACCAGTCCCTAACTGAAACTGAAAGTCTTTTCGTTTTGAAAAGATCTCATTTATTTATTTGAGAAAGAGAGAGTGAGCACAGAGAGGGAGTGAGAGGGAGAAGCAGGCTCCCTACTGAGCGGAGAGCCTGATGATGCAGGGCTCCATCCCAGAAGTCCAAGATCATGACCTGAGCCGAAGGCAGAAATCTAACTGATGAGCCAACTAAGGCGCCTCAAAAAATTTCTTAAGTTTTATAAGCAGATGAGTTGTGTGGATGTGTGCAAATGCTCCCCTTCCTTCCACAGTCTTCTTTAACACAAAAAAGGGAAACTAATACTTTGGCTCCTCTATGAGGAAAAAAAAAAAAGCAGTTCACTCAAAGTAGTTCCCAAACACTAAAGTGATAGGCCTGTCCTTCTCTTCACTCAGCATGCTATCTCAATCTCACTTACTGTGTTGATGCCAGCCCCCTGCCTTTCATATGTGTCTGAATCTTCAGCTATTTTAGGAGTTTCAGAAACCAGACAGAGCAATAGCCTCAGTGTTGGATCAATGCTGATCAAATGCTGGCATGCTACCAACAAAGTAATTTGTGACTTGGGGCACATTACTGAACTTTAATTTCCTCATGGGGGCAATAATTCCCACCTCATATAGTTATTAGAAAGGATTAAATAAACTACCATTGGCAAGTCTCCGACATAAGTATATATACTCAATGAAAGTGAGTCTTCCTCCTCACCTCTGACTCTCCCTTCTTCCTCTTCTGAAGGACAGAAATTTTTTTCACATTTGAACAGCTTAAGGTGGCTGACATAATGCTTGGACAAGATAATTCTCAGGAAATGCCAACTGAACTTATATTAAAATATGAGCTATCTGTCACCAAAGGAGTGTTCATTGAGGATAAAAAAGCACAGGGTTAAGATTCTCAGGTTGGAGAAGTGCTCCAGAATGCGGTCTTAGAACTCATTTCTGTCTACATTCTGGAAGTGATTGTTTTCCAGTTCCAAAGTCTTGAAAATCATCCACTTAGTTATACCACTAGAATACCTTTCTATACCTCTCCCATGAACTTAACACTCCCACTGCTTAATCAACCTCTCTACTTGGATATCTAGGACACATCTCAAATTTAACATGTTAAAAACTAAACCTTCGATTTCCCCCGTCAATTCAGCTTTTTTTTTCCCCTTACACTTCTCATCAATCTGCAGCAAACCTTGTAGGCCATTCTTTCAAATTGTGTTCTACTAGCTTCTTTTACCTTCCTCGTTCTCACTCTTGTCCAAATGCCCACTAACTCTCACGTGGACACTTGTATATTCAGTGGTCTCTCAACTTCTACACTTACCAACTTATAATCAGCTTTTCAGGTGGTTGATAAAGTAATCCCTTTAAAATGTAAACCTGATCAAAAGTCTCCAGTGTCCTTCATCTCTCTTAGAATAAAATCTGTGGTCTAAAAACTCTGCCCTTGGTTTCCTTCCCACTGATTTCCTACTGTTTGTACTTCCCCTCACTCTAGCCTCCCTGGCCTTCTTGTTGTTCCTCTAACATGCAAGCATACTTCCATTTCAGGGCCTTTGCACATCCTCCAATATTCACATGGCTCTATTTAGATGTCATTTCTTCCAAGAGGGCTTAACCTTACTATCTCCATCACTGTCTCTCCCCACCCCACCCCCCAGCTTTCTTAATATCACTTATAACACTACCTGAATATCTACATGTTTGTATATTACTGGTGATACAAGCATCAATGGGGAAGGAACATTGTTTTGTTCACTGTGGTACTGCCAATGCCTAGAAAAAAAGCCTGGCACACAGTAATCACTCAATCATTCATTTAATGAATGAGTGTGTTCCTACTATTGGTATTCTGATTTACTTGGAGAATGTTGAGTTAAATTCCTTTACTGAAGGACTTTAATGTCCAATGTACATCTCTAATAGGAGGAAATGGCATATTTATTTAGGCTAAGTTTAGTCATATCACTTTTTCTTTTCTTTTTTTTTTTTAAGGAGCGTCTTTACAACTGTGGGAAACTCATGCTATGAGGACCAGAGTTCAGAAATTGCTGTAGTATACAGGGCATGATTGTATATAGTGCCTTTTAGATTTTAAAATAATTGGCTAGTTTGTGCTAATTTACTACATATCAGGAAGGTAAAGACAGTTAATTTCTGATTCACTTCAAATTACATACAAGTATAATTTCATGTCACATCACTGCTCAACCATTTTAACCAGGCATGCTTTTAGCCACAGATACCATCTGGTCATCAGGAACATTTTTAAAATGCTTTACCTTATTCCATTTGGCAATAAACATGTAAATTAATTATGTACATAAATATGTGTTAGCAAAACATGTATAGAAGATTAGTAGATACACAGGAAAGAAATACTGATATTCTCCCTCTTCTTCTTTCCTCATCTTTTTCTACAATTTTACCTTTTCCAAAAGTTGCCATAATTAGACATTAAAGACCATTTTACATTTTATTTTTTTCTTTAAATGCCATGATGTATTTTTTTGCTTTTGGTTTAAAAGTGAGTGACTCAAGGGGCACCTGTCTGGTTCATTTGGGGTTTTGACTTTGGGGTTTGATTTTGGGGTTGTGAGTTCAAGCTCCACTCTGGGTGTAGAGAATGCTTAGACATAAAATCTTAAAAATAAAAATAAATGTGGGTGACTCAAATCCTTTATGTTTTTTATTCTCAAGAAAAACCCCAACAAAACCTCAACTATTTTTACCTATATCGTTCACTTTGTCCTCTATGAAGTACTAGCATTAGCCATAAAAAAGGACACATACAAGATGGTATAGTTTTTTGCTGAGAATTTTTCTTAAAATCACAAAAGTAGGATAATAACAAAAATAGATTTTTTTCCCCTTTCATGCATGATGACATAGGTAGAAATTCTTATAGGGGTGTAAAAACCTGCAATCACAACCCATTTCATTACTGGGTCATCAATGAGGCAAAATGATGTTTTCTGAGCCTTGTCTGAAACTGACAAATGAATGCATTAAAAGGAACCAAAACAAAATACTGTTTCTTTTTAGGCAGGTACAAATGAAGAGCTAAAGGGAAGGAGTGCTCATGTGATAAATCAGGTTAGTCGGGGTCAAAGGTGTCAATAAATCATTTTGGAATTAACTAAAAGTGAATTGTACATTTTAAGAATATTGTGGTAGTCTGTAAGACTAATAGTTGCAAATAAATCATATCTCCATCTATCCACACCCCCGGGCAGTCCTCTCCCACACTAACTCTGGGTTTCCCTACCTGATTTGCTTTGTCCAGGGGGACATCAGCAAAGTGATACAAGCAGAGGCTTGCAAAGCTTTGTATGCGCAACCTCTCCCTGTCTTCCTGACATTGGAACTCGCTCTTGCTGTTTTTGAGCTACTCACACTCTGCTGAAACCATGAGATGATTTTAGTCTCATGAGTGACCTCAGGAGAGACCAAGAGAAGTGTCCAGCTGACCCCAGTCCAAAGTGCTGACTCACAGCACTGTGAGAAAATACCACGGCTAATTTTTAAAGTGGTTTGTTAGGTAACAATAGGTAACTGATACAAATATAAAATTGTATTGCTGGCAAGTACTTATTACTTTCAAGTCTGTTCAGTGACTAAGAAAGTATTACTTGGTAGAGATTCTGCATAATAAAATACATGAATACAGGACTATTAAAATTCCAACAAAAGTCACCATGTGTTTTACAACTGCATAGAGAGTTTTATATTATGTTCATATCTTTAAAGTTCATCCTAATGAGGTAAATATTCCTTTTAAAAGGTGAACTATAGGTACAAATGTCTAGTGCTGTAAAAGTGTTTAGAATATGTAGGTGGCCAAAAAATTACCCTCTTGAAATCCTTCTAAAGCTTTTAATTGCTTAGCAAACTGTTCTTTTCCCAGCATGCATGTTTGAAGTAAGTACTTAAGTGGGACCCTGATATTCAAGTGGGCCAATTTATTTGTATGTGGACCATTTTAGTGCAAAAGTCTGCTCCCTCAAAGCAGATCTTCATCCAGCATTTGCTACTCCACTATAAGACACAGCACCATGGAAATCTAATAGTCAGCTATAACAATTCTTCTTTTCTTGCCTTCTTTCTTTCTCTACTTAAGCTACAATCATTTGACCATCCTCTTCTTTCCATCTCAATCCTCAATATCCTAATCCAGGCCTATAGTTCTGGGCCACTACAGTCACTTCTTAGATTCTACATTATTCTGACCCATCCCTCCTGCACCAAACCCATTCCAGTCACAATAGTCAAGAATGATCTTCCTGGAATGTGAATCGGATGCTCATGTTTAAAATATGGTGACGGTTTCCCAATGCATTGCTAGTAAAACCCAAATCCTTTATAATTTGTTACTTCCTAAATTCAAAACAAACTCTAGATCCTTCTTTCTGTTTGTTTCTTTATCATCAGTAATCTTACTTTTCATCCTCTTGGATACTTTATGCTCATATTTACCTTCTCGGTGTAGGACCTGCCACTCTCCTGCAATCCAGGCCTTCCTGGAAGCGTACAAGATGGTGTAGCGTGTCACCACAGTCTCTGGGCCATCAGGTGGTTTCCAAGAAACCAGAGCAGTGTCATCTTCTATCAACGTCACTTTTACTCCTACTGGTGGGCCTGCCGGTGCTGCGCACACATGGAGGAAATACTGTGTTACCAGGATTAAGCGGTGATAAACACTCAAATACCTCGCTAATAGACTGAAAACTCAGGGTAAAGAGTGTGAAAAACTAGAAACCGCTATCAAAACATCTCAGAATCACAGCTTTTACAGATCATTAATGGTAAGAGTAAAACACTATTTTTTCTTCTTTTTCTGAGAGCTAATTTCATTTTTATAATGTTTAAAACATAAAAAGGTGGGGATGGTAGATTCCTGGATGGAGAATTACTAAGTCAAATTGTGTAAGAATTCCTAGAGCTTTTGGTAATTGTTTTGCCAACCTGATAACTGGAAAGGTTTACAATTCCACAAGCAACACCACCATTAGGTATTGAATCTAAACTACATTTCTTACTAAAACATACAGAATATATATTTCACCTGATCTAGGAAGCCACTGAAGAAAATACTTCTGAGACCAAAACATTTAGTTATTCTCCAAAAAGTTGTGAATCAGTGAGTTCACAGGAGAGACCTTAGAAGAAGTCTTTATATCTGCGAAAACAGTCAAGTCTTGGGATTTTAGCTGACCACATGTTTAGTAGGAGCTAAAAGTGCAAAGAGCTGGGTTTTGGCACCACATCAAATACGGAACATAGCCAAAAGCACAGCCAAGAGGTCCTATGCTTGCTGAAGTCAGTGTCTTTCCTTTGCTCTCTCTCAGCATAATTAGACTAGAGCTGCGAGGGTCCTTACATAGATCATCTACCTCTTCACTCTCATTCTAGAGAAAAGAAATGCAGGTCCACAGACATGAAATACCTTAGTGAGTAGCACAGTAGCACAGAGAAGCTCCAGAAAGGGTGCTCGATCAGATACCCCAACCACCACACTGCACAGCCTCAAGCCACCACACACATTACTTTTAACGTGGGCTCCCAACATCATTAAATACACTATTCACTTACTTCCATTTTAAGTTACGTGGGTACAGTCTTGAACAGCACACCTGATTTTAGAAAATGTAGTGGTTCCCCAAAGAGACATTAAATTTAAGCCTACTGGCTTATGTAATATATAAAGTGAGAGGAATAAACATTTACTATAATAAAAGAAAATACATTTCAAAAGTTAAAAAAACAAAACAAATGCATACATGTCAATCAGGGTAGTAACTAGGTAGTACCTTCTTTAACGTGACATTTCTATTTTTTTAAAGATTTTATTTATTTATTTATTTGAGAGAGAAAGAATGAGCAGGTAGAGAAACAGAGGGAGAGAAAGAAGCTGACACCCTGCTGAGCAGAGAGCCTGACACAGGGTTCAATCCCAGGACCCTGAGCCAAAGGGAGATGCTCAACCGCTCAACTGACTGAGCCACCAGGTGCTCTTAAAGGGACATATCTATTTTTTAAACATTTAGATAAATGCCTGTACCTTCTGGAAGTGTTGAATGGTAGACAACGGGACTCCAAGGGCTGGAAAGCTGGTCCACATGCAGTCGTACAGCAAATTCGTATTTGGTGTTTGGTTCTAGACCTTGAACCAACATGTGAGTTTCTGATCTATAAAGTGAGTAACAAAGTTGTTAATGCTAGTAGTACATTGTTTCTAAAAGATTATCAGTATTTCGAGTCAATTCAGGTAAGTATCCTGCTACTATTACCTCATTTTCTTTAAAAACAATTTTTTAGACTAAAAAAATTTCCTCTTTAAAATACAATATTTGGTATTATCCTATAGAAATTAGCCTACAAATTGCATCTCTGAAACTATGAAATAGTTTAGAATAGCAGTTTGGAAATATCCCAATAGCAGTTTGGAAATATCCCATTTTCCTCAAAAATACTGAAAATCCTATCATTCTTGGTTTAACATAATGATGGGCATTTTTCTAACTATATCCAAAAAAACAGAATAAGCTTTATTTTTTGATGCCAGCATGAAAGTGGTCTTTTATTTTTCCTTTACACATGCTAAGTTTAGCCAGTTGAAAGTAATAATACCTTCTTGCCTAATCTTGTTGCATGAGGCTGAGGAACCAAAAAAAAATAATATTAATTTATAGAAACTGAATGTCAGAAGATAACAGTTTTCAGAACTGAATATGGCAAAGATGCAAAACTCCCAGCCATTTTATAAGTAAGGTAAGTCCCGAAGCAGGTTCTCATAGCTAAATGTCATGCTGGCCCAAGAGGGTAAGAAATAAGTGCGAGTGGGCAAAAGAGCAAAGAAAACCACCATTAACAGAAGCTACATACGTTTGAAGGTATAGAACCAAAGAAGCATTCTGCAGGCCGACAGGGTTACAGCGGATGGTGTAGTTAATTATTTGTGCAGTGGTGAACGCAGGCCTCCTCCAGTGCAGGAAGATGGAAGATGAGGTGTTAGCCTTCGCATAGAGATGGTGGGGTGGCGGTGGAGGGGGAACCATGCGATCACGAACAGCTATTGAAAAAGACAATGTTAATTTACTGCACCGCATATTACTATAGAAAGTGGTAAAATGATAAAATCACAATTCCCCACCCTGCTAGTTGACTTGAGGTCCTTTTTTCATTAAAGAGGTTCATGGATACATTTAGAGATGTATATCATTCAATTCTGAGCAATTCTTCCATACATTAGGTAATCAAATATTAATACTTAGATTATAAAAGAGAAGCACCAAGAAGACAGACTACTAGCCCAAGACATTCAGAGGGCCAGCAATGGACTTAAAACTAAACTGACACCCTCTTCAGTAGCAATAAAACCAAACAGGTCTTAGCACCAGTAAAACTGAATAGTAATTGGAAGGAAATAAATAGCCTCAAGATTAGAGCAGATAGGCATTCAGGGTTATTTTTCCCAGTTAAATTTCTGAAGGTCTTTTGTTTGCAAAAGTAAAATAGGTTCTTATAATTAAATACACCTCACTTAAATATTTATTCTGAGCATGTACTTGTTCTAAATAACTATGTTAGGTACCATGGAAGATAGAAAAGTACCAAGGATTCCAAGGAGTAATGAGACTTAAATTTACGGAAGGAAGAGAAGAACAAGGCCTGTGCGCCACACAGAGTGAAACGTGCTGCCGTAGCCCTTACTTACACACGCATCCCGGAGTGCTGACTGTCTGATCTGCCTGATAGCCATCTTCTATGTTGTTGTAAGCCAGAAGCCTCACGTGGTACTTTCTTCTGGGGTCTATAAAGAAACTGACAGGTAATAATTTGGTCCAGGCCTCTAGATATCAGCCCTCCAGAGCCTTTGCAGAGTTTGGTTTAACAATCTTCTGGATACATAACAGTTTAAAGTAAAATAAGATTTTTTTTGTCCTTTTCCTATCCTACATAGTGACTCAGCAATGCACCTTCGTGTGACATTGCTACTGTGACTATGTACCAGTTATTTACAATTTTACTTAACCTCTCTTCAAACAATAACATTAACACCAATACTCTCCGTCCTCCTCCTCAACTGACCAGAGATAGATTCTTGATCCTAATAGCCTTGGGAGCTGCCTGAGGGATCACTTCTAAGACGCTACAGTACATAGAAATTTTTTGTTTAGTTATTGGAAGGTTAGCTACCTTAAGAAGGGAAATCAAAGTGAGCTTATTTCCCCCTCAAAGATAAAGAGAATTATGACTGTCATCCTTTAGTAACTTTAAAAAGTTTTACAACCATGTGTTATTTAAGTTTATTTCTATGTGTACCCTTTCCATTAACCCATTTTCAGGCCAACAGCTAAATTCACCAAGAAAGAGGAGCTGGAGCTCCCTCTACTGGTGCTCATTAACTGTCAAAATAGGAAACCCAAAGTCCCTTGGATATATACAAAAATTTTTCAGTTTTTTTGAGGAAATAAAGTTATACATTTTATTTTATTTTTTGAAAATATTTTATTTATTTATTTGACACAGAGAAATTGAGCACAAGTGGTTGGAATAGCAGACAGAGGGAGAGGGAGAAACAGGCTCCCCACTGAGTAGGAAGCCCGATGTGGCGCTCTATCCCAGGACCCTGGGATCATGACCTGAACTGAAGGCAGACGCTTAACCCACTGAGCCACCCAGGCACCCCTCGTTATAAATTTTAAATGACATGTTTTAGGACATATTTTGAGAAGTTTAATGATATAAATACATTTAAATATAACTATTTATGATAACATTTAATTATCGAGTACTTGCTTGGGACAAAAATAAATACTATTGAGAAATAATGTATTTCCCCCCCAGCTTTGCTGAGGTATAGTTGATGAACATATTTTTAAGGTATATATTTAAGGTATATGAGATGATGTTTGACACATGTGTACAATGTGAGGTGATCTCTACAATCAAGCTAACAAACACATCCTATCATCTCACACAGTAACCATTTTTGTGTGGGTATGTGCTTGAAAACAAGATCTCAGTAAATCTCAAGTTTATAATACAGTATCAGTGAGGATCATCACCATGCTGTCCATCAGATCTCCAGAACTTATCTTGCATAAGTACAACCTTGCACCCATGAGCAGCACTTCCTCACATCCTCCATCCCTGAAGCCCCTGGCAAACACTGTTCTACTCTCTGCTTCTCTGGGTTCAACTATTTTGGATCCCATACATTACTGAAATCATGGAGTAACTGTCTTTCTGCATCTGGCTTATTTCACTTAGCATAACATTGTCTAGGCTCATTCACATTGTGCAAAGGCTGAATTGCCTTCCTTATTAAAGGCTGAATAATATTCCATTGTGTGTATACACCATATTTTCTTTGTCCATTCACCCAGCAGCAGACATTTAGGTTGTTTTATATCCTGGACATTACAAATAATGCTGCAATGAACATGGGTGCAGTTATCTCTTCAAGATACTGGTTTCATTACTTTTTGATACATAACCAGAAGTGGGACTGCTGGATTATATGGTATATTTCTAACTTTAATATATTTCTATATTACATTTCTCTAAATAATAATAAACATGTAAATAGATTCAGTACTTCATAAGGGAAAAAAATCCTTGAAAGATAGATCCAATGTGCAAAAAACTTAGAATAAAAGGATAAAAATAATTCTAGAGCGAATTTAAACATTTAAAAATCCAAAAATAAGGGTGTGCCTGGCTGGTTTAGTTGGGGGAAACATGCAACTCTTGATCTCGGGGTTGTGAGTTCAAGCCCCACATTGGCTGTAGAAATTGCTTAAAGTAAATAAACTTTAAAAATAATAATAAATTTTAAAAATTCAAAAATAAAATATGAAGTTTGTTAAAGTTTCCAAAATAATTTTAAGAGTCTGCATATTTTAAAAACTGATATATTCTATTATTTAATATTAAAATGCATTAAAATAATGTCCTAAAATACAAATTTTTTATTTGTTTTAACGAATTTCTATTCATTTTAACAAAATTAAAATCACAAGAAGAAAAAAATTTATACAGCTTAGGACATTTCTATACTCTTTAGATAGGAAGTAGGAAGGCTAATATTCAATTATACTATAGAAAATGATATATGAGTAACACAAAATTCTATCAATGTTCTTCCCATTCTATAAATGGTGGTACCACGGTGTTAAGTAGCATGTCTAGTGTTACATGAAACTAAACCAAGGACTTGCTGATATTTCTATCACATGTGCTTTTGTTACAGTAGGTAACTTTGTCTCTTTATAATGAATTCTAAAATAGAAATATTTTTAAACGTTTTATAAAATAACTACAGAAAACAAACACAGAAATACATTTGGACTTCATTACTCAGATGATTTCCAACAGTAAGCACTGAAATTCTAAGATTCAAGGACTTCTGTTCAGATTAACGGCAACCTAATTTGAATCTGTGTTCATCTTTCTTCCCTCTTAACATATTGCTGAACTCATGAGACAACTGAATCCTGAGTGCTATCTTACAAATACTCCCTCTGAATGGGTACAAATGGAATTCATTTGGCTCTCTGCCGTTGAGTTCTTCAAATGTATGTCTCTACTCAATCAGAAACTTATCTTTAGGAAAGCCTACTGAGTGTGGGGCATTGCGCCAGAAGTTAGGAAATACAGAAAAAGAGGGATGAGACAGAGTTTGTCCCAAGTAGCTCGCATTGTCAGACAGCCAGACATGGATACAGCCACTCTCACCAAAAGCAGATTTTGATGATGTTATGAGTATGGGTGGAAAGATTAATCTTTTTTTCCACTGTGCAAACAATCAATTAACGCTTCATGAATACTTCTCTGGAACGGTTCTTTATTTTTAGTCCTAAAATTGATTCTTCATTTTCCCTTCATCTTTGAAAAATGAGCTGCTTACATTAAATTTTAAACCCCAAATCAACCTTTCCTGGTTGACGAGAAGCAACGTATGTGTCCTGAGACAATGAGAGAAGAGCACACTTAGCCCTTGTACAACCCACTCAGCATGGTAACAGCCCAGCTTTTCTGGTGCCCATCTGGAAATCATCCAAGTCACCGGAGCAACGACCTCCCAGGCTGGACTCCTTTGCCTGCGCGTTTCTATGAGGTCAGGAAAAGGCAAACCACCAGGCTGGCAAATCAAGTATATCAGGTGCATGAGCTTCCTTTCTATCCATACACAAGAAGTACAACAAGGGTCAGCATAATTTTTAAAACCACTTTAGTGGGAAAAAATAAAGGAGAAGGAAAGCCCATTTAACATTCACATGTGATCGACTATGCTCTTCAAAAAATCTTACGCCAGGTTGGGGGCCAAGCTGAGCAGTGGGCCATGAGCATTTACCATGTGCTCCTTTCAGGCTCCGAGAAATAGGACTCCAGCCTCAAAATCTAGTGACATTATTTTGGTTGGTTAATCCAGAGACCTCAGAACAATAAGGCTCATGTTCATGCATCAATTTGTTAGAGATGTGATGTCATGGACCCAGGGGACCAGAGGCCTGGACTAACGTTAAGAGGAGCACTATCAGACGGCAAGAGTTACCAGCTAAGAAAGAAAACAAAGCTATACAATTAACAAAATTAAAGATACAGAGTAAGAAATCAGAGTTTAGGACCAACATATTCAATATAGTTAAATGCACAGATAATGTACCTTAGCATAAGAGCACAAGTCCTAAAACTCTGGAGTTCTGAGAAAACCCTTCAATGCATAAAGGACAAAGCAGAGACCCAGCCTCAGCACTGTGAAATGCTACAGGGAGCCTGTACATATAGTTTCCAAGGCCTGCTAACAGCCCTTCTTGAGTCAAGGACTGCCACGTCTGTGGTGCTTTGGTTACATGAGACTCAGCAGACTTAGGCAATGCGGTTTATGGGGAAAACAGCAGAGTCAGGAAAAGCAGCCACAAAGAATTGTTCAGGCCTTCCCAAAACCCAGTGAGGGAAAAAGGAGAAATAAAAAGAGGGGAGAGAGTTGGTCCCATTTCCTTCCAAACTCAACACAAGGAGCATAAAAATCACTCATTGGGGCTAATTCTTAAAGGTCTCAGGAGTGATGGCTCCACTAGATAGTATTTGACTTTATGGCTAAACTTAAAGATTCAGCAATATATAAAGATGGAAGGCCAGGAAAGTAAGCTCAAATTAATTTAACACAAACTCCAGTGAGTGTCAGCTTAGGTTACCATAACTGTAGTCCCAGCCAAATTAACCTGTATCTTTATTATGGAGTCAACCTTTGGCCAAAAAATGAAGATCTCCTTCCTCAAACACTGCTATGGTAGCACTCCTTCTCTTTTCTCCTCTGCTCTAGGATTTGCCTCACCTTCTTTCCTTTCTGATTCATTCTCATCACTAACTTTTCCACTTGACTTTGTTTCACATGAGGAGAAATCAAAACTAGAAGTCTGACTGGCCAAGAAAGAGTATACAGGTATCTAATAACATTTACCAAATGCCTACTGAAAGTCAGACACTATATGAAGATTCAGCAGTTAGAAAGCCATTACTGTTGGGGAGCCTGGATGGCTCAGCTGGAAGACCGTATGACTCTTGATCTCGGGATTGTGAGTTTGAGCCCCATGCTGAGTGCAGACATTACTTAAATTTTTTTAAAAAAATGAAATAAAAATTTAAAAAAAGAAAGCCGTAACTTGTGCTTTTAATTTCAATCTACCAGAGTACAGACTGATAAATGAATATTCTGTAAATATTATTTACTAAATGTATAGCCTTGAGAGCATATTTTTTTAGTTTTCTAAGCCTGGCTTATTTTCATTTGGAAAATAGACA